GTGCAGGCTTCTCATTGCTGTGGCTTCTCTTGCTGTGGAGCATGGGCTCTAGTCACATGGGCTCATTAGTTGTGGTGCACGGGTTTAATTGCTCCACGGCATGTGGGATCTTCCCGGACCTGGGATCCAACCCGTGTCCCCTGCATTGGCAGGTGGATTCTTTTTTTTTTTTAACATCTTTATTGGAGTATAATTGCTTTACATATATCCCATATCTTCTCCCTCTCGCATCTCCCTCCCACCCCTCTAGGTGGACACAAAGCACCGAGCTGATCTCCCTGCGCTATGTGGCTGCTTCCCACTAGCTATCTGCTTTACATTTGGTAGTGTATATATGCCATGCCACTCTCTCACTTTGTCCCAGCTTACCCTTCCCCCTCCCCATGTCCTCAAGTCGATTCTCTATGTCTGCATCTTTATTCCTGTCCTGCCCCTAGGTTCTTCAGAACCCTTTTTTTTAGAATCCATATATATGTGTTAGCATACAGTATTTGTTTTTCTCTTTCTGACTTACTTCACTCTGTATGACAGTCTGTAGGTCCATCCACCTCACTACAGATAACTCAATTTCATTTCTTTTTATGGCTGAGTAATATTCCATTGTATATATGTGCCACATCTTCTTCATCCATTCATCTGTTGAGGGACATTTAGCTTGCTTCCATGTCCTGACTATTGTAAATAGAGCTGCAATGAACATTGTGGTACATGACTCTTCTTGAGTTATGGTTTTCTCAGGGTATATGCCCAGTAGTGGGATTACTGGGTTGTATAGTAGCTCTATTTTTAGTTTTTTGAGAAACCTCCATACCGTTCTCCATAGTGGCTGTATCAATTTATATTCCCACCAACAGTGCAGGAGGGTTCCCTTTTCTCCACACCCTCTCCAGCATTTATTGTTTGTAGATTTTTTTGATGATGGCCATTCTGACCGGTGTGAGGTGATACCTCATTGTAGTTTTGATTTGCATTTCTCTAATGATTAGTGATGTTGAGCATCCTTTCATGTGTTTGTTGTCAATCTGTATGTCTTCTTTGGAGAAATGTCTATTTAGGTCTTCTGCCCATTTTTGGATTGGGTTGTTTGTTTTTTTGATATTGAGCTGCATGAGCTGCTTGTATGTTTTGGAGAGTAATCCTTTGTCCATTGCTTTGTTTGCAAATATTTTCTCCCATTCTGAGGGTTGTCTTTTCATCTTGTTTACGGTTTCCTTTGCCTTGAAAAAGCTTTTAAGTTTCATTAGGTCCCATTTGTTTATTTTTGTTTTTATTTCCATTTCTCTAGGAGGTGGGTCAAAAAGGATCTTGCTGTGATTCATGTCATAGAGTGTTCTGCCTGTGTTTTCTTCTAAGAGTTTTATAGTGTCTGGCCTTACATTTAGGTCTTTAATCCATTTTGAGTGAGTGAGTTCTACCTCTGAAATCCTTTGTCTATCTACTTCCCTTTTGAAAAAGCTCTCATTTTCACCTGCAATACTGCAAAAGCCTCCTCCCACCTTCCAGTCAATCCCTGTTGCTAGCACTAGCTCTCTAAAGCATCAATCCAGTAATTTAAAAAACGGTTTAGGGGCTTCTCTGGGTGGCTCAGTGGTTAAGAATCCACCTGCCAGTGCAGGGGACACGCGTTCGAGCCCTGGGTCCGGGAAGATCCCACGTGCCGGGGAGCAACTAAGCCCATGCACTACAACTACTGAGCCTGCACTCTGCAGCCCGCAAGGCACAACTGCTGAGCCCATGCGCTTAGAGCTCGTGCTCCGCAATGAGAAGCCGGCGCACCGCAAAGAAGAGTAGCCCCCGCTCACCACAACTAGAGAAAGCCCCTGCGCAGCAATGAAGACCCAGAGCAGCCTAAATAAGTAAATAAATAAATAAAATTTTTAAAAAAGAGACTTCAGTTTTAAGCTGGGCTCCCCTGCCCTCCCTGCCCACAAGCCCCTTTCTATGACCTCAACCTCATGGAATGGTAGGATAAAAGGACTCTGGTGGAACCAAAACATATTGTTATTAACAAGACTTCTTTTTTAATTAAGAGGTTCCAAACCAAACAGTACCAACATCAGCGGAATGGTGTGGGAGGAGGCGTGGAAAAAGGAAATCATTCCAGGCTCATTGCTAAGACGTCAAAATAGCTTTTCACATTTGGTCTCATCATTAGACTGAGTCTCCTGAGCACTAAAGATTCTTGAGAGCCCACCCAGACTCTGAGAATGACAGCACTTTCTGTTCCAAAGAGCCCACAGCGGGGTGTGCTTGGCCTGCTCTCCAGGCAGCATCAGCCGCACTTTGCGGCTGCAGGCTCTGCCCTTTACTCTGCAAAATGAGAACTAACAAGCGATTGCTTGATACCCATCAGCATCCTCTGTCAAAGTAAACACAAGACTCTATACTGAATGAACATTTTTTCTTCTTTTTTTAGTTAATTAATTAATTAATTTTTTGGCTGCGTTGGGTCTTCGTTGCTGTGCCCGGGCTTTCTCTAGTTGCAGTGAGCGGGGGCTACTCTTCGTTGCGGTGCGTGGGCTTCTCATTGCGGTGGCTTCTCCTGTTGCAGAGCACAGACTCTAGGCACGTAGGCTTCAGTAGTTGTGGCACGTAGGCTCTAGAGGGCAGGCTCAGTAGTTGTAGGGCATGGGCTTATTTGCTCCGCGGCGTGTGGGATCTTCCCGGGCCAGGGCTCGAACCCATGTTCCCTGCGTTAGCAGGCGGATTCTTAACCACTGTGCCACCATAGAAGTCCCTGAACATCTTTTAATTGTTAATTTCTTGATTGTGGGCAGTGCAGTGAGGTATGAAGTAGACTATGTGTTTTATTTTATGGATTGGGAATAAATAAATATTCCAATTCTGTTTCTATAGGCAATGGCAAAAGATAAAAGTGATGAATGGTTTGCTGCACAAAATAAACCAAAGGCTTCAGGTTAACGGAAGACATCACGTGGAACAAGCATTAGTGATTCCTGTCGAACACCTGTGAGGCCTGATGTGTGCATTATGTGACAAATGTTCTCACAACGTGGTGGTTTCCTGTGTGGGCAGAGAGGCTGGGTGGTGAAGATTTGTGTATTTTTATCTTTGAGAGCTCTGATATATTTTAGAGAGAAGATCCTATCATTATCAGTCCATTTAGAGGAGAGCTCTTGCTGTCATCTGTGCCATCCCTGGAAGGGTACATTTTTTGTGTAACTGTATTACATTAGTAATCAGTTCTTCTGCAGCCTGGGACAGCTGTATTGAACAGGACCTTTGGTTGGGAATGGAGGGAATTTTGATAAGTATGTAGATTTAATGAGAACAAATAAACCCAAATCAATTGCTTACAGCAGGAGTACTTCCAGTACCTGGTGACAGTATGCTGTTCTAATGTCTTAACTCTGGCAGGCCTTGACCAATAAAAACTTTTAAAGAAATTTTGTGCCTTGAACCAAAAGACTTGGTTAACGTTCCCACATTTTTTGCTTTAAATTTTTGAGTAGCCAGAGAAAACAGACAAAAGGATCTAATGTATTATGTTGCTACACGCCTGGCTCTGTGCTAGTTTCTCTCTCTCCCTCTCTCTCTATATGTATATTTTTTTCTTTTAATCCTCATAAGAAGAGACCATGTTAGATTTCTTAGTGATGAATTAAATGATTTCTTCAGCATGAAAAACTTTTTTTTAATATTTTCTTGTTTTCTATTTGATTCTGCAGAACAAATCAGTTTTAATCACTGGAAATAGAATTAAGTTGGGCATAGTTATTATGAAATGTTTTTTGAAATTATGCTTCTGAAATCAAGCTGTTACAACCAACCTGTAAGACTCATTATTTAAAGTGGTTGCCAGGTTCAAACTATAGGGAAAAAACTGATGAGATTGGAAATGATTGACTCAGAAGATATCTGTTCCTGTACAATATACATGAAATTACTTGTAAATCATAGCCTCTGCTGTTCTCCCTTGCTGGCAGGGTAGGGTATGGAAATTTCAGAGTGAGTTTCAGCTCACCTTCTGATAGGGCTATCTTAACCTTCACTGAGAGGAAAAAATTATTTCCCAGCTCCACAGCACTTTTCATTCCACTTAAATTCTCTATCTTAGGGAAGCAATTGTGAGTTTCAAAGCAAATCAAGCTATGTTCCTCCTGTCGACAGTTGGTTCACTTTTTTTTTTCCTATGCATGGGGAAATTATTATATGAATTTTGAATAATCAAGTAAATGCCTCTGTCTTCTTTAGACTATGATTTGTTAATTCTCAGATTTTCTAATTAATTAATAATTAGATTATTAATTCTTGATGTTTATCTCTGGTAATACTGTTCTCCTGAAAAGAAACTATACTTCTCCCAGTGTATTAGGCTGTTGTGATGTGGCCTTTCTTTTTTTTTGGCTGCGCTGCACGGCATGTGGGATCTTAGTTCCCTGACCGGGGATCAAACACGCACCCCCTGCATTGCAAGGTGGAGTCTTAACCACTGGACTGCCAGGGAAGTCCCTGATGTGGCCTTCTAAGTTTGTTATAGTAAAATAAGTGGTTTATGTAAGTACTAAACACATGCCAGATTCCTCTTTATCTGTTTATCTTATGTTGTAACATACCCCCAATTTTTTCTCTTAAATGTACAGCTATGCATGAGAGAACTGAATGCTGTTTATCTACCTGGGACATTTTAGCTTCATGATATCAGCCTCCTTTTATTTCTCTCATTGCCTGTCATTTTTCCTTTGTTGCAGTCTTCAATATTTTATTCATCCTAAAACCATTTACTGTACCACTTTGGCCTTTTATCAAGCAATCCAAAAGTTTACCTCTGCACAGGGCAGCTAGTAATTTTAAACCAAAAGTTACTACTTTCCCATCTCTGGGAATGGTATAATCAGCTACAAAACAAGGTTTAAAGATAGTTTTGCCCAAGCTGGTGTTTTTAAACAGATGAAGTTGGGAAGTTCCTCAGTTTCTCCAGAGTTGTGTTTTCAGAGTAGTCATTTTATTTTTCGACTTGAGGGGTTGTGGTCCTAGCATATTAAGTTGAAGTTCAAATATCTCTTGAATTTAAATCCAGAGAGATTTAGAATGGCTGTGTTGTGGAGTTTTCCTAGGTTAGCCTGTAAAGTTAGTATGAAATCCATGTGTGTCTGACGTCTGAATGGAATTAGCAAAGCCAGGGACATTTAGTGCTCCTTAGTATGACTTTCTGCCCATCTCACCTGTCCCACAATGTCCTTGTGAGTCGGAGAGTTTCCAGGAGGACTCCCCGTCGGCCACTGAAATTTATGGTAAGAGTTGATGGGAAGAGACCCGCTGCGGGGGAGGAAGCCTCTCAGGGAGTGGTGAGTCCATGCGGGTTAGTGGGCAGCCTGGGTAGGGGCATTCAGTGAGGGTGAACTGTGGCGGGGGTGTGAGGAATCCGGGGATTACTGGGTGCGGGAGAATGCGGGGCCAGGGACGGAGCTATAGGGAGGACAGACTGGGGCCCAGGAAGTAGGGAACTGCAGAGACGCGCGGCCGAGCGGGGCCTGGGCTGGGAGGGGGCGGTCGTTTGGGGGCCGGGCCCTGGGTAGGGGGGACGGCACGCCGTGGGATGGAGGCGCGGGTACCTGCCTGTTGCCTGGTTGGAGGCCTCTGGCCGATAGAGGGAGCTGTGGGTCTGGCGGCCCCGATACCGCGGGCGCTTAGGTGGGACCGCGCGTGCGCGCGGAGCGGCGTACATATGCCGGGGTCCGCGCATAGCCCGAGCTGAGACTGCGGGCGGGGGCCGAGGCGCCGCCCATTGTCCCGCCCCCCGGGACCGCCTATTGTGCCGTGACGCTTGCGCCGCCCTCGCGGCCTGGCGGGGGAGGGGCGACCCGCGCCGCAGTCAGCGTCGCCGCCATGGATCTAGGTGGGTGTTCGGTTCCTCTGGGCCCGCGTGGGCCGCGTTGAGCAACCGGCGACCAGGCAGTGCTGAGTGGGCCCGGGCTGAGGGAGACCTCCGGGCCGGGGAGGGGTTTGGGAGGGCGGGGGTGTCTTGGAGACCGGAGGTCGGGGGGCCGGGCTCTACCCGCCGCTCTTCCGCTCGCCTCTTGCCGGCTCCAGGCCCCTTTCCACGTGAAGGGGCCAGCGGATGTGAAGTTAGCGTTCGCGAGAGTGGACAGGTTCGGGCACGTGCTTTGGAAAAGGCCGGGCTCCGGCGGCGCCCCGGGGAATCCCGTATCCCCAACGATCTCATTTATTGAACGTCTACTAAGTTCTTGAGCAAGCGTTGAGGTCCTCGTGGATAAACGGGGATGATGATACCGTATCAGCCTCACAGAGTTTGGGGGAGTTTTCACTGAGATCACGTGTGTACAGTGTCGAGTCCGGTGCCTTGCGCAGGGCTAGCGTTCTTCAGACCAGCAGTTGTGGGCACGGGTTGCAGCAGCCGAGGCGGCAACGTGCGTCTTGATTCTCCAGATGCCAGGTCTGGGAGAAGGGAGGGGACAGCTGGTATAAATCGGCGGCTCCTTGCCCAGCCTCCCCCGCTGCTGGATGTGCTCTTAAGGGCATAAGACCAAGAGCTGTTCTGGGAGAGCTGGGGTGAGGCTCCCCAAGATGTGCCAGTATTAGTAGGCTGTTGAGAAATGTTCTGGTCCCTGCCCCCAGCCAGCTGTTCCGTGGTGGAAGGGTAGAGTTGGAAGAGTTTGGAGCCCTGCAGCTGTGGTGATCTCTGATCTCTGTCCCAGCCCACTGCTTTGCAGTTCCGACAACCTGAGCAAATTGTTTGAGTCTTAATGTTTCCATCTCTAAAACAGGAATGGTCCTCAAAATGTTGATCTGACGATGAAAAGATACACATACCAACTAGCACAGTGCCTGGTACAGAGTAAGCGCTTAAACATAAGGAGCGGGCACTCACAAGCGCCAGTTAACCATTCGTGATAAAACACTTGGGATTCGCCCAGCCATTAACTGCTTCTGGGACTTACTCCTTCAGGTGGCATGAGTATATACTTACCGTCTCTGGAAGGTGGGTCTCAGGGGCCAAAGATCTCAGCTGAGCAGGTAGAGCAATAAAATTAAATTTACAGAGTCAGAAGGGAGCCTTTTGGGGGGCCCTGGGAGAGCAGCCTGAACCAAAAAGAAAGGCCAGAACCCCCAGGGAGACCTCTCAGCAACCTGGCTCTTCCTGGGAGTCTGCCTCAGCCACTGGGCACCAAGATGGATTGCCTTCACCAGCGGGTTGCATAGGAGTGCTGTTCCAGATGGAAGGGGCAGGATAGTCTCCTGGCCCATGAAAATGGGGAAGCTGTGTTCTTGAGGGCCTGAGGGACTGAGGAAGGGGCCCTGGGAAAGGGGAGAGGGGTCAGGAACATTGAAGAGTGAGCAATGTTTGTACGATGATTTAGTTTCTGGCCCAAAGGAAATATACCTAAGAAAGACATGTCCTGTTTCTGAGCTGGAGGAGGCAAAGAATAGGGACAAGATTCTGGTCCTGGCAACAGTGGAAAGGTTTGGGAGAACCAGCGTTTATCGAGCACTTAGGCTCTTTGTAGCCTGATTCTATTTTGTAGTACGCGGGCCTCTCACTGTTGTGGCCTTTCCCGTTGCAGAGCACAGGCTCCGGACGTGCAGGCTCAGCGGCCATGGCTCACGGGCCTAGCCGCTCTGTGGCACGTGGGATCCTCCCGGACCGGGGCACGAACCCGTGTCCCCTGCATCAGCAGGCAGACTCTCAACCACTGCGCCACCAGGGAAGCCCTGTAGCCTGATTCTTAATTGTATATATCTTACCTAACCCTCAACAGCCCTGGAAGATGGGATTGGGAGCCAACAGTGGGTGTGGACCCAATGCCAGGGGCTTGACTGTATGTATTATTTGATCCTCAGGGTCATAATGTGAAGTCTGTATTATCCCCACATATGCAGAAGTTCAGAGAAGTAATCTGTCCAAGATCACACCACTTCCCCCCCCATCTCACCCCGGTACGCGGGCCTCTAACTGTTGTGGCCTCTCCCGTTGCGGAGCACAGGCTCCGGATGCGCAGGCTCAGTGGCCATGGCTCACGGGCCCAGCCGCTCCGCAGCATGTGGGATCTTCCCGGACTGGGGCACGAACCCGTGTCCCCTGCATCAGCAGGTGGACTGTCAACCACTGCGCCACCAGGGAAGCCCACACCACTTTTAAATGGCTGAGCTAGGAGTTAAACCCATGTCTAATTAAACATCCCAAGATGCCTTCCTTGCTAAGTCTGTGTCAACTCAGGGCTCATTGAAGAAGGACTTCTCTGAATCTAGTACAGTATTTTTTTCTATCTACTTCTTGGCTTCTACCAGAGAACCAGGACCATTAGTAGCTTATTCTCTTTGATGGAAAGAGCTGTGGGAATTGAACTGTTTCCCCAAAAGGCAGAACGTTTGAAATCTGTTTCCAAGACAAGGCTTTAAGAGAAAAAAGAGAAGCAGGGCTTGTCTGAGTGCTGCTGTGCAGACAGTCCTGGTCCACGCCCTTCCTAGTCTGTATCGGTACTTAGAAGCTCAGTTGTCAAGTCCTGCAGTAAGTACTTGGTGGCCGCTGTAGTTTGGTACTGTCCTTGCGCTCTCTCTCTTTCTCTCTCTCAGCCAGCCCTTCTTCCCCAAATCTTCTGCTGGCCCATCCTTTGCTGGAGGGCCTTGCCTCTGGGCAGGCTCCTTCCTGAGTCACATTTCAAGGTTGACTTGCCTCCTGAGCTTCAGCCCTGTGTTTCCATTGCTGGAGGACGTTTCTACCTTAATGTTCTACCTCAAACTCCAAATGACCAAGACGTATCAGTGTTCCTTCCAAGCACATCTCTCGTGTTCCCTGTTTGCAGTAGTGCCCGTTGTCTTCCCAGGTCCAGGCTAGAGAGCTTGGGAGTCCTTTTTTATTCCTCAGGTTAATCCTTTGACTTCAGCTCTGCAGCGGGTCCTAGAACCATCCCTTCTTCCCCCTCTCCCACTGATTTCATTCAGAACCCTTTTCATCTCTAACCCTAATAATGACAGCCTGCTGACCAACTGCTGCCTCTCCCTCTAACCTCTGCTTGCTGTTCTGAAAATTTTTCACCACATTCTATCCTATTGGACTTCTGTCTGTGCAGGACCTTTGAATATCTGTGAAGAAATGACTGTTCTGCATGGGGGCTTCTTGCTGGCCGAGCAGCTGTTCCGCCCCAAAACACTGGCAGAATTGACCAAGTCTGACTGGGAGCATGTCGGGCGGCCGATTGTGGAGGCTCTGAGGGAGATCTCCTCTGCCACGGCCTGCTCCCAGCCCTTCGCCTGGAAGAAGAAAGCTCTGATTATCATCTGGGCCAAGGCTCTGCAGCCCTACCCTGTCACGCCTTCTGACACTGAAACCCTGTGGCAGGAAGATGTGTTCTTCTCCGTGGGCAACATGATCCCCACCATCAACCACACGGTCCTCTTTGAGCTGCTTAAGTCCCTGGAAGCTTCCGGACTCTTTATCCAGCTCCTGATGGCCTTGCCCACTACTGTCTGCCATGCAGAACTAGAGCGCTTTTTGGAGCACATGACTATCGACACTTCTTCGAAGGATGTGGCCTTCTTCCTCGACGTTTGGTGGGAAATGATGAAGCACAAGGGCAATCAGCAGGACCCCCTGCTCTCCCAGTTCCGGACAATGGCCCATAAGTACCTGTCCTCTTCAGATGAGTTCTCCCACCCTCCAAAGAGGTTTAAGTCCGACCCGGATGTGTGTCCTACCGTGCCCCTGCTGGGCATGCTGCTCACTGGGCTGAAGCAAATCCAGGATAGGATCCTGTGCCCCGGGATGAAGTGTTGCGCCTTGGCCAACTTGGCTGACATGCTGACCGTGTTTGCACTGATGGAGGACAACCCCCAGGAAGTGTCCGCCACTGTGTACCTAGACAAACTGGCCACGGTGATCTCCGTGTGGAACACGGACACCCAGAACCCATATCACCAGCAGGCACTGGCAGAGAAGGTGAAGGAGGCAGAGCGGGACATCAGCCTGACCTCACTGGCCAGGCTGCCGAGCGAGACAATCCTCGTGGGCTTCGAGTTCCTGCGCAGCCTGCTGCGGGAGTGGCGGGAGGAGCTGCGGGCCACGCTCGGTGGCAGCCAGGGGACGAGCTACAGCAGCTACCGGCTGTGCGACAGCCTGACCTCCTTCAGCCAGAACCTGAAGCTCTACCTGGACACCGCTAGCCTGTCCAAGGAAGAGAGGCAGGTGGCCTCTGAGCTGGCGGAGTGCGTGGGTGACTTCCTGAAGGACACGAACAGGGTGCTGAAGAACAAGGGCTTTGAGAAGGACATCACTGCCTCCATCGCCATGGCCATCATCGAGCAGAAGTTGGACCGGCACGTGGAAATGTGCTACATTTTCGCTTCTGAGAGGAAGTGGGCCTTCTCGGATGAGTGGCTGGCCTGCCTGGCCAGCAGCCGGGCTGTCTTCCAGGAGCCCGGCCTGGTGTTAGAGCTGCTGGAAGCAGTGGTGGACGTCAGCGCGGCAGACGGGGCTGTCCCCAGACCCCAGATCAAACAGGTCATCGACTTGATCCTGGAGTGTCATGCACACCTCTCACTGCCAGATAAAAATAAAGTCCTCTCGGGCGTCCTGCTCTCCTGGGGGCGCAAGGGCCTCTCTGAGAAGTTGTTGGGTCACTTGGAGGGGTTTCAGGAAGACCTCAACACGACTTTTAACCAGCTCACGCAGAGCGCTTCTGAACAGGGCTTGGCTAATGCCATCGCTTCTGTGGCCCGCCTAGTCATTCTGCACCCGGAGATCACGGTGAAGAAAGTGTGCAGCATGGCCGTGGTCAACCTTGGCACCCACAGGTTCCTGGCTCAGATTCTCACCGCCTTCCCTGCCCTCAGGTTCGCGGAAGAGCAGGGTCCAAATCCCTCCACGACGATCGTGGTGTCCTGCCTCAAAGAAACAGTCTGGACGAAGTTCTCTACACCCAGGGAAGAGAAGCAGTTTCTGGAGTTCCTGAGATGCCTGGTGAATCCTGTGAAGCCCCAAGGGATTCCAGTTGCTGCTCTTCTCAAGCCAGATGAGGTGCTAAAGGAATTCGTCCTGCCTTTCCTGATGCTCGACGTCAAAGAGGTGGACCTCAGTCTGAGGATCTTCATCCAGACTCTGGAAGCAAACACATGTCTAGAGGAATACTGGCTGCAGACCTGCTCTCCGTTCCCACTCATCTTCAGCCTGTGCCAGCTCCTGAATGGCTTCAGCAGATACTGGCAGCTCCCCAAGGAGAAGCGCTGCCTCCCCCTGGACGGGAAGGACCTGGTGATCCACATCCTGGAGCTCCTCTGTGAGGTGGTGTCGGCTAACGCCGAGACCTTCTCCCCGGACACCTGGGTCAAGTCCCTGTCCTGGCTCCACGGGAAGCTGGAGCAGCTGGACTGGACTGTGGGCCTGAGACTGAAGAGCTTCTTTGAGGGCCACTTCAAGTGTGAGGTACCAGCCACGCTCTTTGAGATCTGCAAGCTTTCTGAGGACAAGTGGACCTGCCAGGCCCGCCCCAGGTATGGGCCCGGCACAGGCCTCCTGGCCTGGATGGAGTGCTCCTGCATCTCCAGCAGCATCTCTGAGCAGATGCTCGCCCTGCTGGTGGTGGATGTGGGCAACCCTGAGGAGGTCAGGTTGTTCAGCAAGGGCTTCCTGGTGGCCCTGGTGCAGGTCATGCCGTGGTGCAGCCCCCAGGAGTGGCAGTGCCTTCACCAGCTGACCAGGAGACTGTTGGAGAAGCAGCTCCTGCATGTCCCCTACAGCCTGGAGTATATTCAGTTTGTCCCTCTGCTCAACCTGAAGCCCTTTGCCCAGGAGCTCCAACTCTCCGTACTCTTGCTGAGAGCTTTCCAGTTTCTCTGCAGCCAGAGTTGCCATAACTGGCTCCCTGTGGAAGGCTGGAGCCATGTGGTCAAGCTCCTCTGCAACAGCCTGACCAACCTCCTGGACTCTGTTCGGTTGATACAGTCAGTTGGCCCTTGGGCCCAAGGACAAGAGCAGGACCTGACCCAGGAAACCCTGTTTTTTTACACCCAGGTGTTCTGTCACGTTCTGCACATCATGGCCATGCTCCACCAGGAGGTGTGTGAACCACTGTATGTTTTGGCCTTGGAGATCCTCACCTGCTACGAAACCCTGAGCAAGACCAACCCTTCTGTCAGCTCCTTGCTCCAGAAAGTAAACGAGCAGCACTTCTTAAAGTCCATCGCCGAGAACATTAGCCCCGAGGAGCGGCGCCAAACCCTCCTGCAGAAGATCAGCAACTTCTGACCTTCGTGGGTCAGAAAACAGCTGGGCCTCAACCTGGCCAGGTCTACGGGGGCTACAGCTGAAAAACACAAATTTTTCGGTTATGTGAAATTTTACACAAGCCCAAAAATCTGACGACATTGTAAAGAAAATAGTTTCTTAGGTATTTGTAACATACAGATTGTAATAAAATTCTCTTTTGAGTTTTATCTTGCCTCTTTTGAGACTTTCTTATCAATAGTCTAGGCTCATCAGTACACGCTGAAATTGGGCGCAGCCAGTCGTGAAGATCAAGTCAAGCTGGGAGGCGCGTGTTCATCACTGGGCTTCTCCACCCTAGAATCTGGCAAATAAGTCTAAAGGTGAACCCACCCAGGTGGACTGACTACAAGGTACGTGTGTTCTGTTGCACTGAGAGTCTCTTTAAGAGTCATTTTGCCGTATCTTGGAAAGGGCAGGAACTAGGAAAGGGACTCTTTTCTGCTACCAATTGGCCATGTGATTTGTGTGTGCACAAGGCCTGCAACCAGTGTAAAAGGAGAGGGTTGGACCAAGAACATGAAATGTGGGGTGGGTGGGAGGGAGGTCAGTGACCTCAGGAAAACGGGTCTCTTCTGAATCGAGGACTTCTGCCCCACAGTGTTAACGCTGTCCATTCAGTGGATCTCAAAGGGGCTGTGCTGACACTGTCTGGTAATCACCACAGAGACGTGTTTAAAGGATGGGTGTAATTATCTTCTGCCTGGGGTGGGTTGTCATGGGTGGGTTGGTTGGTGGGTTTTTCTGTTTGTTTTATCTATCTATCTATCAGGTCTTAGTGTGGCAAGTGGGCTCCTTAGTTGTGGCTCACGGGCTCCTTAGTCGTGACTCGCCAGCTGTTTTAGTTGCGGCATGCGAACTCAGTTGCGACATGCATTTGGGATCTAGTTCCCTGGCCAGGGATCGAACCCTGGCCCCCTGCACTGGGAGCGTGGCGTCTTAACCACTGCACCACCAGGGAAGTCCCGGTTGTCACGGTTTTGAAGAACATGTGGGAGCAGGGAATGGTGTGTGCAAATGCGTGCCCAGGATATATTCCAGAACCATGAGGACTCGTTAGGGAAGTGTTTAATTGGGAGGCAAGGAAGGACAGCTCCATACCCCCATCACAGTGAGGCAGTATTCAAGTTCTCTCCCCCCGCACCTAAAGTGGGCTGGCTCTGTCTGCGGCCTACAGTTGGGTTTCCACCCTCCTGACTCCTAGTTGGGATTCACCTGGGAAGAGAAGAAAGGGCCTAAAGTTACGTGACCACTGGGCTAGAACTCTAGAACTCTGCAGTGTACTCTTGGCACCGTGAATTACAGAAACATGTTAGAGTGAGGTATGAGCTAGGCTCTGCTGGAGGCTGAAGGCATTCACACACACCCTTCCCCTGCAACAGCCCACCTCTGCCAGTTACACGGAGAAGAACACAGAACAGAAACAATAGCACACAGCAGCCATTCCAGTTGGTCACAGGACAGGTCTTAACCAGAAGTCGGCGTGGATATATTTCACAAATGAGAATAAGTTGGAAAATATTAGTGCAACTTAGTCACCACAGGGGTGATTTATAAAGATATACGGATAGTAAACAAAACGGTAAAAAAATTACAGCATTTTATGTTTTTAAATGGCACCCATTAAAGACTGAAATAGTCAAAATTTGAGACACTGTTACACACTCAGTACTTTAAAAGTTCACAGACAACAGTGAATTAAAAGGCACTTTTAAAAATCTAGTTTTTCACTACTGCTTGGGAAAAAACTTCATGGTAGCAGTTTCTAAAACCCATCCTTGTCGTTCAGGAGCAATTAGTGTTGGCACCAGAGGATCCTATCGGTAAATGGTGGTGAAGGAGTCAGTCTACAGAACATAATTTGGCCAGGGCTGACTTGCACTTTTGCTCTCCAGCCTTCTGTGGCTAAATGGCAGTAAGTCAGATAGGAACAGACTTTGGACCACAAGCTCTGGCTTATCAGGAGGCAGTCTAGATGAGACATCTCATGGTTTGGAATACAGCAGTCCGTTCTGCTTCATAGGATAAGGACAGTGTCAAAGCGGGGTTACCCAGTGAATAGCTCGGTAGCCATCATTTCACTTTACCCCTATAGTTTTTAATAAGAGCATCCTGTGTGTGTGGATATGGGGAAATCTGGGCTTGAGGGACATGCTAAAAAGGGAATAGTATCTGTGACTGTTGGTCTAACCAAGTCAGCCTGCAGAGGTGCTGACCTATTGGCCTTCCTACCTACTCAGGTGCTTCAGGTTCCCATCCCTGCCATCTACCCCACCGCGCCAGTGAGACTTCTGATCAGAAGTCGGTAGACAGGAGAATTCAATGTTGGCACATGGATGAAAGGATGAGGCAAAGGACCTACGGGTTATCTAGTAAACAATAAAAAAACTACCTACCCACAACGATTTTCCCAGGCCAACATCACAGGAAAAGAACCAAGTCATCACTTGCTTCTGCTGGCCCAGTATGTGTGGATACTCCCTGAGTGGCTGGAAAGGTGGGGAGCCACCAATATGAGGACCAGGCAGGTGCCCTTGTCACCTTGGTCCACCTATCTCCACACCCCATGCTTCTACCTCCAGAGCCCTTGAGATAAGACCCAAGGAAGGATCCTTGGGCTTCACGTTAAACCACCTTGCTGCCAGTGGAGGTCTGACGGGATCCAATAGTTGTTACTAAGGAAAAAGTGCTTTTGCAAAAGGGGCAGGTTAGAAACGAGAGGTGATAGGAATATTCTTTAGAGAAACGCTAATCCCTCTGCTTATCAATACCCAAAAGGCTGAGGCCACCCAGGGCACAATCTGCAGTTTGGTCCACGGGAATACTGAGTGGAGGAGGCGCCCTCACTGCCTGGCTCATGGAGCAATTAACCATCCTTTTTGGCTTGGGGAGCATCAAAGAGCCGGACTGCCTTCTTGCACAGCAGAGAGAACCAGTAGATCTGGGGAGCGATGAGGAAGGCGTTGGCCACATTGCAGTAGAAAGGAATGTGGAACGGCACTTGGAGCAGGCTCAGTCCCTGCTGCTGGCCGTAGGACCAGTACATGAAGGGGAAAAGGAGGATCCGACATGAGAAGAAGGTGGTCAGCGTGAGGATTCCGTTCACCTTGTACAGCAGCGTGTGCTGCTGCTTTAGCTGCAAAAGAGGGAAGGAGAGCACAGGGTCACTTTCAGGGAATGACTAGCCTGAGTCCCACAACGGACAGGCCAAGCGTCTCCTTTTCGGACACTTGTAGAAAAGATGATTGAGCACTGCCGTATTTGTATATGCAGAGAGTCTCATATTGTTTCCAACAGCGATGTGAAATTTGATCTAAGCCACCCAGCTGACAGGAGCACAGGAACGGTGGGTTAGAGAAACTCTGTGACCAGGATAAATATATATGAAGAACTGGATCAAATTTGAATCAAATGTACAATTTTTCAATCCCACTGGCTCGAAAGACCAACTGACCTTTAAGTCTGTTCAAGGGTCTCCTACCCCACTATTGGTAGCACTAAAGAAGTTTCTCCAAACCCTCTTAATCTACCAAGGAGAAGCAGAGTCTGTTCCCTCGGCACTTTCTGCCACTCCTTTCATACGTGCCTGAATCAGAACTCTGCCCAGCGACACAAACGGAGTACTCAGTTCTGCCATGAAGATGCAGCCAACAAAGAAGTCCCCAAGCTCTCCCCTAAGCCTCTGCAGAGGAAAAGAGGAAAAAGGGAAATAAGTAATGGAGGTTAAGGAACCACCGGAAGGAAAATTCTAACTAGGGCTATTGAAAAGGGTAACCCTGAGCAACCATGCAGGGAAATGGAAGTGCTAAACGGGCCAGTGCAGACCAGTTCACACTTGGAATCCTCATGGTCCAGAGGCAACTGCATCACACACTGAGCTTTCTCTAGAATTTCAGTGTCAGCCAAAAGGAACTCTGCAGCCCACTTTTGGGTATCCAACTTAGTCATGCCAAGGGCAGGCACTTAAGCCAGTTCAGTTCCACGAAATATGCACCAGGGCCCATGCCTGATGTTAGGGTCCCCAACACAATCAAGAGAGACTTATTAAAGAATGTCATGCACTCTACCTCTCCTTTTATCCTTTCAAGAAAGCAGTATAGGGAATTCCCTAGCAGTCGAGTGGTTAGGACTCGGCACTTTTGCTGCTGTGGCCCAGCTTCAACCCCTGGCTGGGGAACTAAGATCCCCCACAAGCCACAAGGCGCGGCCAAATATAGAAAGCAAGCAAGCAGTATTGGGATAGCAGTTCTGTCTCTTAGTACCACCGAGCGAGGTACGTAAACTCATAGAGCCCCAGTTTCTTCCTCTATGGTATAGGGCTAATATTTTCTAATTATCATTTCTAATTATTTCTAATAATTTCTAATGATTAGAAAGCAACAAATTTTTTTAAAGTTTTTTTTTTTTATGTGGACCATTCTTAAAGTCTTTATTGAATTTGTCACAATTTTGCTTCTGTTTTATGTTTTGGTTTTTTGGCCGCGAGGCATGTGGGATCTTAGCTCCCCGACCAGGGGTCGAACCCGCACCCCCTGCGTTGGAAGGTGAAGTACTAACCACTGGACCCCCAGGGAAGCCCCCAAGCTACAAGTTTTTAAATCAAGCACCTGTCACCTGGTAGGCGCTTCGGAATTACTAGTCTCCCCTCTGCATTCCCATTTCTCTTCCTTGTTGGGTGAGTTTTTTTAATGGGAAAAAATGGATCTGGGGAGAAATTATGAGGCTATTTGCTTTGAGAGTCTGTGCTTTTGTGACATCAAAATAATGCCAACAGCCCTCTCTGGGCACTATCAGAGCAAATAACCAGTTGATGGAGCTACGCTCATTTCTTTGAAACAATTTTTATGGTGTTTTCTATTATATTGTATGAACTAAAGGCAGAACCTTTGACAAATGCTTGGGCATCACAGAGGGCTGGGGGATTGCCAGTGAAGAGGATCACAGACATTTCAGATTTAACTCCTTTCTACACTGTGGCAGCAGCTGGCAGGAGGGCAGTGGGGGCAGCAGGAAAGGGGAAGAAAAGGGGGCAGTCTGACAGTTGGGACACCCAGTTCAACAGGAGGAATGAGTGGCTGAACCTACTGGTGCCTGTCCTGGGAGGCCATTACCTGTGCGACGGGCACAAGGACAAACAGAATAACTGCGTGGTGCGTGATCATGAGGCGGTTTTTACTTAGGAAGTTTCGAAAAATGGTGAGGGGACGTTTGCTGCTCTGGTCCCTGGTTCGGTACCATTCACAGAGGTACATGGCGTAGGAGTCATAGATCATGTATGGAATCAAAAACCAGACATACTCTCGGGCAAGCCAGTGCCTGAAAGAAAGCATATGGATGGTCCAAGAAGTAATTATGGAAATCCGTTATGAAGGCTCACAGCCAGCCTCTTCTTAAACACATCTGCAGCAGCTTTGCACTTAATCAGCTGTTTTTACTCCAGATACTTCACAATGAACATGCTGAAGCTGACAAATAAGGAGAGTGAACAACTTTCTCTAAATTACAGGGCAAACTCATAAGTGTCAAAGGTAGAAAGCAAGGATTCACTCAGCACCATGGGTTTCAGTGACTTGCCCTCACTATCTGTCTGGTTTAGCTACTCATTTGTAATGGATTTTCTGGTACTTTGTGATATAAGCTGACTTTGATAGATATCTCTACCAGTGATTCAACAGACCCACCAAGAAACAGGTTTGGAAAGTGACCCAAATCCCAAACCCAGTATTTCCAGTTTAACTCTACTCAGTTGCTCAATAGTTGGGACATTACTCTTGAATCTGTTTGCAACCCCACTCTAGGGAGTTTCCAGGAAGTAACCCTGGCCACTTTCTTTACAATACTATGGCTAAACCCAGTTTCATTCAAGAAAAATATCTCTGGAAATGAGCCCAGAGCTCAAGGACTACCTTACAGGAGACAGATACCAAAAGAGAAGCTAGGACAAAAGACAGTGTTCCCATTTACTTGTCCAAAGGGGTTGAATCAATATTTGCTGAGTCAAAATGACAGTTTATCACTGTCCCAGAGCAGATTAGAAGCTAAGTCTCTACAATTTCCAAAATTTTGTTCCCCAAATAGTCACTCTACAGAAAATCTACATGAAAAAAAAAATCTAAATTGAAATTATGTACTATCCTGGGAAGGATTAGACTAAGTCAGCGAAGTTTTATCAAGCGCCCATGTGTTAGGTAGAAGAAACCATTTAGTTTTATGGTTCTTAAACTACCTGAACATCAGAATCGCCTGCAGTGCTTATAAAGGGCTCCACGCCTCAGAGACTAAACATGGTGTGCCCAGGACCTCAAATCTGTATTTTTAACCTTGTCTTCATTTAACCTAAGGAGCCAGTCCACTGAACTGCAACATTGGGAATATAGAGTGCCATTCACATTTCTGTTCCTGAATGATTCCACACTTACCACAGCAAAACTAAATAATGAGTAAGCAGTGACATAGGCAAACAAGTAATGGCAAACTTAATATACATTCAGGTAAATCAATTAGCCAAGTTCCAATGAGGCAGAAAGATGCAATATTTATTCTACTGCCCATCTGTGGTCTCCATCGCTTTCTTGAAGCAAATCCAAAGTAAAACAACTATGAAGAGCAATTAAAAACTCATCTGAAATATAACTGACCTCTCCCCTTGCGTGGAGCCTAGGGTTTTAAAATTTTGCACACGGTACCAATTCAATAAGATGCGAAATTGTGGCTGTTAGTTGAATTCCCTGAAGACTTACCAGCAAGCGATCTGGATTATAATCTTAGCTAGCACTAGCCTGGACTTTAACTTTTGTTTTTGTTTTTTTTGCGGTACGTGGGCCTCTCACTGTTGTGGCCTCTCCCGTTGCGGAGCACAGGCTCCGGACGCGCAGGCTCAGCGGCCATGGCTCACGGGCCCAGCCGCTCCGCGGCATGTGGGATCTTCCCAGACTGGGGCATGAACCCGCGTCCCCTGCATCGGCAGGCGGACTCTCAACCACTGCACCACCAGGGAAGCCCGACCTTAACTTTTTTTATAAAATGAAGATAATTAAAAAAAAAAAAGATAATAATCCTTGTCTTACTTTCCTGATGAAGTTATTGTGAAGATTAGAAAGTTAAAAGTATGAGAGTACTTTTAATTGTTACTATTATTATTTTTGGCCACACCATGCAGTTTGTGGGATCTTAGTTCCCAGACCAGGATCAAACCCAGGTCCTCGGCACTTATTTAAATGTAAGTGAGCTGTGTGGCCAAAAAAAAAGAAGCGCTTACATTGAGAACTAGGGATCTGGGTCTCTTTAAGGAGCTGATGAAACCCCTGGCCCTGCATCACACCCTACAGATAATTTGGGAAGATTCATAGACACCCCCTCCTACCTACAGACATTCTATATGAAGGCCTAAAATTAAAAGACATAGAATAGAAAAATATTTGGATGTACAGACTATGAACCCCAAAAGGCTTTTTTTTCCAGATGATTAGGTGCCTTTAGGGCATCCTTGTGCATCCATGTAAGTTGAGGGCACAGAAGGTGCTGTCTGTCTCTATTTTGCAAGTAGAGGATGAATCTAAGGCATAAAGATATACAAAAGAGGGGCTTCCCTGGTGGCGCAGTGGTTGAGAGTCCGCCTGCCGATGCAGGGGATACGGGTTCGTGCCCCGGTCCGGGAAGACCCCACATGCCACGGAGCGGCTGGGCCCGTGAGCCATGGCCGCTGAGCCTGCGCGTCCGGAGCCTGTGCTCCACAACGAGAGGAGACGCAGGAGAGAAAAGAGCCCCTAACACCAAAAAAAAAAAAAAAAAAAAAAAAGATATACAAAATGAGGACCCTAAAAGCCAAACTTAGATTTGCTACCATGCTCAAGCCACTAAGACACATGGCTTCTGAGGGGAGAACACAAGCGTGCTACAGAACTGAAAGTTAATTGTGTGCAGATCTCTTCCTGAGATGTGTAGCAGCTGCCTGCTGCTTGCCCTCAAGTGCCATGGGGGCTGCATCTGTCTTAGCTTAATCTCTGCAAAGGAGGCAGGTTTCAAGTTTGACCTGACAAACTGGGGGCAGTGAGGGAGCCTGCTGCACCATCAGGAAATGGTCAATTAAAATAAAAATTGAACCCAGCTGAGAAAATGCTGTTAGTCTTTGGTGTATGCAATCAAAGTCACTTGACCTATCTTCTCTCAGGATCTACAATTCATCGCCAATAACTGGTTTTCTCTAAAAAAAAAAAAAAAAAGGCAAAAGAGAAGCACGAAAACCTTGATGGCAGGGTTAATCCCAAATAAGAACCAGGCACCAAATTTGCAGGCCACAGTGAGATAGATGCCCCTCTCGGGCTCCCCTCCCATTCCATTCCCAACAGGTGAAAACCAGGACACATAATAAACATGAGAAAGGGATTAGGAAAGGCTATTAACTTTCCCTGCACATATGACAATTGCTCTTCAACTTAACTGTGAGGAGGAAAGGGTGATTCTAGGAAGACAGGTAAAAAAGGATGGCTTTGAAAGGATGGCTTTAAAATGGGGTGGGGGGGCACTGTTACCCAGGTCTAAATACTATACAAAGTAGACCAGCCTGGTCGCTGTAAGTTGTTTCACTGAATGCACATTTCCTGTCCTGCCTGTGGACTGAACTTTCACACCCATTCGAGTCAGTTTTCTGAAAGCTCCAGAAAACTCTTCATCACCTTCATCTTTCAGAGGAAAGACAAGAGCAGCATTTGTAAGGAAAGGGGTGGTGGATTTGTTCCTTTCCATAGCAGGGCTCTGCTAACCACACATCCTATCTTGGCCGATGAATGCTCCACAGCAGAACCCCAGGGAGATCATTTAAAAGAACCAAAAGCCACACTTCCACTTCTGAATAATTTTCACATTTATCTATCGCATAAAGAACCTGGATCGTTGGACCACACTGTCCTCTAACACGCCACCTTAAATCAGACTCAGGCTCTGTCATGGTCTAGCATTTCTTCAGTTTACTTTCTCCTAAGCTGGCGATGCTGAAGGTGAGGAGAGGAGGAGCGAACTAGTTATAGTGCCCAAGTTTCACCCATTAATCAGCAGCCTGACGGCACATGCTGATAAAGAACTAGGACCTGTGAGCCACTCAAATGCGGAAGCTTCGAAAAAGCCCAGCGCCGTGATCGGTGTAGCTTTCACCTGGCATTGGATGTTACCTGTCGGTGATCACGTGGCTACAGGAGCGGATGATGATGATCCCAGACCCGGTGGCCAACACAGCCTGCACTGAAGAAACCAGCCTAACGTGCGACAGAAAAGAGAAAAGGGGGGAGGGGGGACGGAAAGAGTGCTCAGTCCAGTCCCATGGACAGCATGAAGCCAGAACTCTTCAACCTGACTTCCCCCGGCCGCCAGGGCGCCGAGGAAAACGGTAGGGCCGCCGCCGCGCTCCCGACTCCCAAAGCAGCTGGCAGATGTCAGCATCGGGGAGACGTCCCTCCCGGTCCTCATCAGCGTGGGCAGCCCCCCCACCCTCCAGCCTGCTCCCGCTCCACCCTCCTCCGCCTCCCTCCCTCCGGGGGCAGGCTGCACAGGGTCCTCGGAGCTCTCCGGCCCGCGCCGTGGACTGGGCGAGGACCCGGGAGGCGGCCCCCTCGCTTCCTGTCGTCCCCCTTTTCCGCCCTGGGCTCGGCGTTGGGCGGGCGCAGCCGGGACGCGTGGTCGGGCGGCGGCGCGGCCTCGCCCCGTACCTGGTGCTGATCAGCACGCAGTCGTTGTGGGTCCAGGCGGGCCGCGCGCGCCGCAGCCCCCAGGCGCAGAGCCCGAAGAGCCCCGGGAAGAGGAGCGAGCCCCAGGCCAGCGGCAGCAGCATGGGTGCTCGGGCTCGGCCGCCTAGCTCGGCGCCCTCGGCGTGGCTCAGTCGGCTCCGCGCGCGCGGCTCCGGGACTGACGCGGCCTGCCCGCCCCTATTTCTACCCTCCGCCCTCCGCCCCCCGGCCCCGGCCCCGGCCCGCCGCGACTCCGGCAGCCGCCGGGCGCTGGTCCCGAGCCCGCGGCGCCACTCCCCGCGTGACCAGGCCGCGGACCGCGATAGGAGCGGGCTGGCCGGGCGGGGCGGGGTCTCGCCGCCACCCCCCCTGGGCCCCGAGGCTTCCCCTGGTTTCCCGGCCGGCGAGTAGGCGGCAGCGGGAGCTGCTGCCCGCCGGGCGCCGAGTGAGCGGACGTTGCTTCCCCGACCAGCGGCGCGCGAGTGGCCGCCGCCGGGGCGAGGCCGTGGAGGAAGCGCCGAGGCACTCGGGGCTTCTGTTCCGTCACCGCTGACGCCTCCCCCTCCCTCGGGGACCCGCCTGGCTGACGAACTGCCCCGCACCTGCCCACCGGGCGAGGGAGGAGAGGTGGGGGAGGCCCCGAGAGGGCCAGGTAGGAAAAGGCTCCGGGCCTAGACCCCCGACCAGCAGGGTGGGGTGAGCCCGCGGGGCAGGGGCGTGGCCCGGCGCGAACAGGGCGGTGAGCGTCTCTCCAGGCGAAGGAAGGACAGGGCGGGTGGGCTTGAGGCCGTCTGCTCGCCTGACTTATCTATGAAGCACTCTCGCTTCCAAGTGGGAGGCTTAAGGAAATGGTCGTTCTGCCGGCCAGAGATGGCTTTTCCACGTCCTGCCAACCGCCGAAATTTCTCCAGAGGAGCATCGATCCAGCAGTTCCTCTCTCAAGCCACACATCGAGGTGGAATCTCACGGCTGCAGACTTCCTGTGGTACTGCGGTACTGTCTCTAGGCTTTGGCTCAAGATGCTGTCCCTTCTTGGTGACTGTTTTGTTGTTGTTGACAGCGTTGTGCTTACTTCAAAGTTCTCGGGCCAAATGCCCTGAACTTGGGTGGGCGGAATCGAATCATTTTCACTCAGCCCCAGTCACATGGCACCAATACAGTAACTTCAGTATTACCGGCTTCTCTTCTCTTGGGACTTGCCAGAGTTTTACTTTGGTCTGTATCTTCCTCAGCTTACAAATGTGGGGGGAAAGACAATTCATTTATGTCTACAGCAATTGAAAGGTACTGTGGGTCTCTTCAAATCACCATCATGCAAAATGCTAACCAAAGCCCCGTAAGAGTCCTTTGGAACAGCTGGGCTCAGCCTCCCTGGGCCAGTTTCCTCATTTGTGAAATGAAAAAGCTGAATTACAAGTTCTCTTTGGTTCTTCCAGCTCAAAATTCTTAAGATTCTATGACTTTCATAAGGTAACATTATTTCTTTAGATGTCAATTAAATTTCTCTAACATGGCAGTTGCTGGTGTAGAAGCCGATGTAAACACAGCTTTTAACGTCGTCGTATATGTGGTTAAGGTGAGGGATTTAGGAAGCAACATTAAGGAAGCAGAAAACCCAAAGAAAAGTCTGATATTTCTTCCACTTAGGGCAACATCTCTAACTCCCAAATTCACCGGTAACACCCTTGGTGAAATAAGAAAGATACTTAAATTTGGCAGCAAGATATCTGGCAAATAAAAAGCTTTCTGTACATTCACATTTGCATGTGGGTAAAGGACAGCTATCTTCCATTCTCTTCAGAACAACAAATCCTTCTGCATTGCAATTTCTACTCCCTACCCGTTTATCCCAGTCACCTCTGGCTCCAGCTTTTCCAGAGAGGGACAAGTGGTCACAAGTCCTCCCTGCCTTCTCTTCTTAAAGGGATCAGCAACATGCATCAGGGATGCCAATACTTTTCAGTGATGGGAATCAATCTACCCCCTATGCAAGAAGTCGTTTGTACAGCTCTTAAGGAGTCTATGAAACGACAACAAAACAACAGATGTTTCATGCATAGAAAATAACCAGTAAAATCAGTTTCCAACACCATGCTCATGAAGTCACCAGAATGTTTAGGCTGAACCACCAGAAGGGCAACAAGCATAAAGTGAGCCCTGGCTTTTCAAGTGGGCAAACGATAATGTCAAAAAGCATCAAGCTTTTTTTTTACACAAACTTCTACTCACCCTTCAGAAGTCTTGAGTCAACTGTTTCCTCCTGCAAGAAGGTTTCAATTTACCTGTCTCTCCAGGCAGGTTTATAAGTTCATTTTCTAAACTGCCTTTGCATTTGAGTAGTGAGCAAGTTGGTTTTTATTTGTATGCGCTTTCCTTGAAACAGGACCATGTCGGGAATTCCCTGGCGGTCCAGTGGTTAGGACTGGGCGCTCTCACTGCCAGGCCCGGGTTCGATCCCTGGTTGGGGAACTAAGATCCTGCATGCCGTTTGGCGCGGTCAAAAAAACCCAAAAAAACAACAAAAAAAAACCCCTCAGAATCTTTTTGTTTTGTTTCCTAAGTTATACCTGGCACATTGCAGGTGCTCAAGAAATGTTTGATACTTTTTAAAGCTAATGCTTATTGAGTGCTTACTATGTGCCAGGTACCGGATCCAGCATTTTGCATGAGTTATCTCATTGGTTCCTCGCGAAAAATCTGTTGTCCTCACTCTGTGTGAGTGTGTGTCTGCAAAATGAGACCCAAAGCAACTAAAATATTGCTAAGGTCACACTGCTGGTAGCAGAGTTGGGATTCAGTATTTTCTGCCTTCAAGGTCAATGTGCTTAATGACTATTCTGCCTTCGAACTTGATAAGCAAGGAGAGAGTACATAATTCTTTTTCACAATGTGGTTGCTGATTAATAACCACTGTTCCTAATTGTTTACCCACAAATATAAATGTGTGGGGTGGAGCTTATGGGCTCTGATGCTGCTATTATTAACACCATTTTATATTTATATATAACTTTATAATTTTTTTTTTTTTTTTTTGCGGTACGCGGGCCTCTCACTGTTGTGGCCTCTCCCGTTGCGGAGCACAGGCTCCGGACGCGCATGCTCAGCGGCCATGGCTCACGGGCCCAGCCGCTCCGCGGCACGTGGGATCCTCCCGGACCGGGGCACGAACCTGTGTCCCCTGCATCGGCAGGCGGACTCTTAACCACTGCGCCACCAGGGAAGCCCTAACTTTATAATTTTTCAAAGCACTTTACATGTATTATCTCACTTGGTTCTCAAAATAACCCAGTGAGGTAGGTGAACATATTATTTTCATTTTATAGATAAGGAGACTTGGATGCAAATGGTAAACTGAATTGCCACCCTACGAAGTGGCAAGTCTCAAATTAGGACCCTGGACTCCTGATTCATGTTCCAGGGTGATTGCAACTGAGGCAGACAAAGAGAAAGAAAGTGATGGCCGTTAATGGAACATCACTCCCTTCAGACAAAGAGAAAGAAAGTGATGGCCGTTAATGGAACATCACTCCCTTCAGGCTACCATCAGCAAAAGCCAGACAGCATTTCAAGGAGGCAGCTTGCTCTCAGGACTCAGAGTGTGGCCAGGAGGAAGTTAGTTGCCTTCCTTTTTTTTCCCCTTGTACTTTGCATTCAGTAACAACACCTGATCAACACCTTTCACTGATACCTGCATTTGTGTTTCCCCTCCAGACTGAATGCTCCTGATGGGCAGGTGGGGCCTATCTATCCAGGAGGCAGCCATGGCAGCTCCAGGGTTAGGAGTAGAGGACCTGAGTGCCCGTTTTGGCTCTGCTACTCAGAAGCTGTGTGACATGGAGAAAACTACCTACCCTTCCCTGTAAATGGGGTTTCCTCTACCTAACTCACAGGGTGGCTGTGAGAATTAGGTGAGATCTTTTCAAAAATACATGTAAACTATATGCAGGGCAGGGATTTCCCTGGCGGTCCAGTGGTTAAGACTCCACGCTTCCACTGCAGGGGGTGCAGGTTCGATCCCTGGACCAGGAACTAAGATCCCACGTGCCACTGGTACAGACAAAAAAAAAAAAAAAAACTATATGCAGGGCAGAGGCCAGGATTATTGTTCTTTCTCTTGGTATCCCCACAGCACAGTTACTTGCTGGTAAGCTTCTCAATAAACATCTATTGGGTTGAAGATGCCCTAGGCCTGCCTTAGCCAGCTTCCAGACTGCAGCTTCTTCAGTTATATCCTGGACTATTTGCAATAGCAAACTGTGAGTCCGAGAAGCAGTCACACCCAAGCACGTGGCTTCTGCAAACAGTGGCCACAGCTGCACACCACAGGAAAGTCTTTGCTTTTGTACACAGTGATAATGATCCCTGTCAATAAAAACCATAATTTACACAAAGAGCTGATTATATAGTGCTTGCCTTTGTGTACTGCTCTGTTTTTTCAAAGTCCTTTCACATAGGCGTTTCCTTTGCTATAAATGCAAAAATTTGCTTGTTTGCAGATGGCTACACCTAACTAAAAGCAGAGTGAGTCCTACAAGCTTAAGAAGTATTCAAGGGCTTCCCTGGTGGCGCAGTGGTTGAGAGTCCGCCTGCCGATGCAGGGGACACGGGTTCGTGTCCCGGTCCGGGAAGATCCCACATGCCGCGGAGCCTGTGCGTCCGCAGCCTGTGCTCCGCAACGGGAGAAGACACAACAGTGAGTAAGCCTGCGTACTGCAAAAAAAAAAAAAAAAAAAAAAGTATTCAAGGACGTTAATCCATTAAGAAAATTACCTTTGAAATGAGTTAGAACCAGCAAATTGCTGTGAACAAATTCAGCTGCCTTCCTAAATCATCAGGTCAACAATTTTCAGTGTCTTCATGTCTCATAAGTAATTCCATAAAAGGTTGATTTTGCTTACTTTAACTTATATGATTTCTTTTTTTTTTTAGTTTTTTGGTCATAAAAGTAATACTTTAAAAAGTAAAACCTGTGCAATATGGAAAATAATAATCATAAATAATGCCACCACTGAGAGATATTACTCTCAGATTATTAACATTTTAGTAGAATTCTTCCATATGTATACATATATAGTAGAATATGCATTTATTATATATTTCATTGAGATCATGCTTTAAATTAATTTTTAAAATTTTATTTATTTATTTACTTTTGGCTGTGTTAGGTCTTCGTCACTGCTCCTGGGCTTTTCTCTAGTTGCAGTGAGTGGGGGCTACTCTTTGTTGCGGTGCGCAGGCTTCTCATTGCAGTGGCTTCTCTTGTTGCGGAGCACGGGCTCTAGGCGCGCGGGCTTCAGTAGTTGTGGCACGTTGGCTCGGTAGTTGTGGCTTGCAGGGTCTAGAGTGCAGGCTCAGTAGTTGTGGCGCACGGGCTTAGATGCTCTGTGGCATATGGGGTCTTCCCGGACCAGGTCTCAAACCCAAGTCCCCTGCATTGGCAGGTGGATTCTTAACCACTGTGCCACCAGGGAAGTCCCTTTAAATTAATTTTGAATATTAATATTTCACTTATCATAAGCATTTTCAATGTTAAGATTTTCACAAACCTCATTTTTAATAAGTCAGAAGTGATTTGATATTTAAATTATTGTAGATTATATTTCAAAGCGGGTTTTCACTGGTTTTGAAAGGAATTCTTGGGGTGAGAGCAG